CACTTCTTCTGCTCAGGCTCCATATCGATGAGACGCAGTGGCCGCTTTGTTGTCTCGTCTCGCTCGGTGTTGCTGTGCCACACTGTACTGATCATCAATGGTCGCTCTTCCTCCAGCTTCTCGAGCTGGCAGACCGTATCGAGCAGGGCAAGGATCGGCTTTTCGCTTCCCCAGAAAACACGGACGTTCAGAGCGGCGGAGCGGTCCAGTGTTTCGCTCTTGCTCAGGATGAAGGGCTTGCCTTGGAACCAGAATAACTGATTTGTGCTCGTGCATAAGACAGCGTCGTGACCTTCGTTATTGTAGTGAGCTTGGTTGAGTTCAAGCTTCTTGAAAGACGGAAGCCACGAGAACAGAGATGAGCACGGTTGCTTATCTACCCACTGCCGTAGCTTCTTAGCCTGCTGCAATCTACTGTCAATATCAACCGAATTGGTCAGATTATCGTTCAGCCACTGAAGCTTCTCTTTAGTGTAGAGACCGACAGGCATGAGAACCTGGTGGGCGCCGAGATAGCCACCGAGGTCGTTGATCTGCAGCCACTTCTTTGCCCAGGCGTTCACCGCTTTGTAGGTCTCGGTATTCCTAGCATCATCCAATGCGTGCATCTTACCCAGCCATTCTGGGCGCTGGACAGCTGGCCGTCCGGATTCTGCTCGTCCCCGTCCGGCTCCTGGCTGGCCTCGTCCACGTCCGCGATAAGAGGAGCGCTCGTTGCTTGGATCTTGCGAGTCCTCGTCGTCCCAATCCCCATCCCATTCGGTCGTCATCTTGTTGGCTATAGTCGTGGATGTTCGAGGGTTTGCTTATTACTCTGGATGACTACTGCTGGTTGACGCTGAGGGAGACTGTTGCCTTTTGATACACGGCTGACCGAATTTGTAGGAACAGAGGTAACCTTGAAGACACCCAGGGCGCGAGAGTGAAAAGGGGCGGTCTCACAGCGAGATTCGCAAGGGCATTGTGCATCTGCGCAACATGACTGCTGTCCGTTCACCGTTTTGTCGGAGAACGACATTCCCGATATAATTGTTGCTAGCGTGAGAGGTATATAGTGTTTCCCGGATCGCAGACTGCTGTTAGCACCGAGCTCATATACGCTTCTATGGTGTTTGCTTACGGACATATTGTTTGATATTGCCCTTGTTACGTGCGGCATTCTTCTGAAGTTTTCTCAGTCTGCAGGAGACTACCAGACGCAAGCTGGTTGCTTCCGAATCTCCGAGAGCCTGCCACTGGCAGGCGGTTCTTCCAGCAAGCCGTTCCTCATGTTGTTGTCGATTCTGTCTCTTCCATTGCTTCGAGCGCTCTCCTCACATGTCTAGCTAGTGCTGGATCCACCTGAAAACCCCTCAATCGTTCTTTCCAGAAATCCCATCTTTTCGTTGTCATCACAAAATCATCTTCCACCTTCCACAAATCCCTTGAAGGCTCGCGATCCCCTCTCTTCAACCCCCAACTCTGCTCTCCCCTCTTCGCACCCTCTCCAAACCTTCGCCCACAGACGACAAGCCACTCGACCGCTGCTAGCACTTCAAAGTCAAAGATGGCATTACTGCTCTCCAGCGCATCAGCGACAACCTCATAGCCCCAATGAATCGTGATCCCAGCAAGCCCAGCATCAACCAACTTCGCCTCAACCTGTGCCCGCCTTACATGATCGGCCCTCAGCTCGTCGCGCCTTCTGCCTATACTTCCGTGCACACTGCCTCTCCAGCAGTACGTCGGACTCATGTCTGCCCACAGGTTACCAAAACCGGGTGATTCCTTCCAGAACCTGTCATCGGGATGGCCGCTATCATTGGGTATTGCTGCCGGATTTGGGAGGTCTTCGATAGCTTGCATAAGCGTTATGAGATGTGCTATGTTTTCTTGTGGGAGCTCCAAGAAGGCGTCTTGGATTAGGCCCCATAGGTGGTGGAGCTCGTCTTGAGGGTCTGCTGCGGTGCTGATAGGTCGGGTGATGGCTTGAGCTGCTATGGTTGGAGTTGTTGTGTGGCGTAGGTAGGTTTTCAGCGCTTGAGCTTCTTCAGGGTCGCAGCCACCTTCGTTGTCGTTTGTGTCGCCGTTGGGAGCGATCTTGGAAGTATACCAGGCGTCAGACATGGCTCTGATGTACCTGATAGCGAATGTGAGATGTACGAATGAGATGGTATAGTCAAGGATTGTAATTACAGTGTGTTGGTTTATACTTAAGTATACGAGGTCCCACCGAAATCCGTGGCACGCCTGACTGACATCACACGTTAGTGTAAGAACTCGAAGGCAGCCAGACACGTGACCAAACCGGAAAGAGCGAGCTGGGGTCAAAACTCACTTCGCAATCCTGGTCCAGCAGTCTCCAATACTACTTGGAACCCCTGCCTTCCAGGATCTTGCCGTCCTCGATCACACAAGTTTCCCTCCCGACCATGACCCGCATGTTCTGTACGTCGAACAGATACTCCTCATCTGGCTTCACTACGTCTTTGTAGTACGGGTCGTCGTAAGCCTTCTCGAAGTCTTCGTACTTCTTCACGTAGAAGTCAGCCATCCCGTCGTATGACAAAGCTTTCTGGCCTGTCATGATCTTATGAGCGGTCCTAGTGTGGTACTGGTGATCGTGAGCCGACTGGTGGAAGCAAAAGACGATGGCGTACTTGTGTGTACTTCATAATGCCGTGCCGCTGTAGCCAAGATGAGACTAGTGGAGCATGCTTCTCGGCCCAGTGCTCGTGGAACTGAACTTCTGAGAGCTTGGGGTTTCGATTTGCAAACACAGTGATGCGGAACAGATCTTCCGTTAACATGCTGGACAGACGTGTTTGTTGGTCACGAAGCTCCCGGAAATGTATGTTGTAGAGCTGGAAGGTCGCCGTGATGTCGAATATAACTCATACCTCGCACTATGACATCATGACTCCAAGTACTGTGAACAAGTGCTTCGATCAGCGATCGCTGGAGATAGGTTGCTGGTACTCATATTTGGTATCCATGAACAACTAACAGAACCATCCGCCATCGACCGGAAGTGCGACTCCTGTCATAAACGAGCTGGCATCTGAGATGAGGAATTCGACAGTAGCTGGGAGTTCCTTTTGATGTGCCGTTCTGCCCAGGGGCAGGAAACTATAATCCACCTCTTTCCCAAGAAGCTCGTAGCTGTTCCTAAGCATGGGCGTGTCTACCGGGCCACTACATGTTGCTGTTAGCGAATATGACGGCGTTCAATTCCATTCGAACTCACGGGCAGAAGCAGTTGCACCTAATCTTCCTTGATCCCAACTCTTTGGCAGCGACTCTCGTCATTCCAATGATCGCATGCTTGCTGCTTGCGTATGCCAGGTTATTAGGCGCACCGATGAGCCCTAGGATGCTCGAAGCGTTAACTATCGCGCCGCCCTCGTTAATGTGAGGAATCTGAGCCCTCAGACAGTTGCGCAAGCCAATGACATTGACACCGTAAATGAAGTCCCAATCATCGTCATCTACGTCTTCGATCGGGACGACGTTACTCTGCTTTCCAATGACGCCAGCAAGATTGGCACAGCCGTCCAGCTTGCCGAACACCTCAACGGTTGTAGCTATCCAGTCTTCAACCTCCTTGCGTTTCGACACGTCGACTGTCGAGGCAATGACCTGTGCCTCCGGGTGTGTTTGCGTAAGCTCAGCTTTCAGATTTTGTAGACGCTCTCCTTGGACGTCGGCGAGCGAGAGTTTGGCGCCTTTACTAGCGAATAGCCGGGCGGTCTCTTCGCCGATACCAGATGCGGCGCCGGTGATGACGATGACCTTGTCTTTGAGTGACATGTTGTTGATTTGGAAGAAAGATGGGATGTACGGCCACGTCCAAGCGGCGAAGAAGTCTTAAGTACTATAAGTACTCATCGGCCCGCTACTTAGCTAGCTGCCATGGTAGCGCGCTTTGCGCACTCTCCATTGACAAAGACAAGAGCTCGTTGTGGGTAGAAAAAATGTGGTCTAGGACGCTATAAGAGGTGTGAAGAAGACGAGCGTGGAGCACCGTGTGCATGATCGACCCCAAATGGCGTTGAAGCTAGTTGTAGCCCAGCGGAAATGGTGTGCCGAAGGCAGTGTTGTCGAATACATTGACCGCTTCTGGACGCCTTAAAGCCTATCTTGACCAGGCGATGTGGATGCTGTCCCCTTTTCTAATGAAAAATTAATAGAGTTGATGAGGATGTATCTGGGAGACTGTCAAATTTTGTTCGGGTACAGAAGCCGTTAGAAGCTCTGGTCTCAAAGCTTACCTATGTCGTCTTTTGTCGTGAAGGAGCCTTGCTTTCACTTTCGCTCCAGGATAAGAAGCTATGGCGATTGGTGCTGAGGATGCAAGGTACATCTGCGCACGGTCAGCGTTGCGAGGTGTTCACGATGAACCAGGGTCCGATTCACTACGCACCCGTGGGTCGTCTGGGTCGCCCCTCAGCAACATGACATTGTGTATACAGCTGCGCAGAACTCGAGACGACTGCTCAAGCCGCGAATCGTTCCTGAAATCGGTGAGCATTGGCAAGGCTAACCAGTCTCCTTGGTACACAGTCGATAATGAAAGCTCGACGCGATACCCTCCATTGCTGTTGCGACACACTGCCAACAGCATGAGCATCGCTCACGCTGTGCGGTATCGTCCTTGTCTGCTTCGGACTTGAGGCATTGCGGATTTTCTCAAGGCCAACATCAAGTCCGCGACCACCACCCTCAGAGTAAAATGCCTCAGAATAGGATGTTCATCGACAACAGAGCTCCAGACTTGTAACGAGTGCTGTAGTTTTCATGGTCATTCGGCTGTGGACGAAGGTCTGAACGGCGCCGTATGCCCGCGAGATTTTCCGCCCGTGAGCCCACTCGGTCAGCAGCCATTGGCACACCTCAAACCATTCAACCTCGTCATTCCCGTCCATCTTCGCCTTTCGATATCGGTTTGCCATTAGGATATAGGATGTAAAATCCTGGACATGATCACAAATACCTCGTTCAAGAGTTTACCAGCTCAAAGAGGGTCCTTAACTCAGTGGTAGAGTGCGGGATTGCAGTTGCGACGAATATCCTGAAGTCACTGGTTCGATCCCGGTAGGGCCCTTCATTTTTTGCCTCGTGTGTTCTCTGTATATGGTGTGGGAACATTACTTTTGCGGGTCAGAGACTTGGGAACTCCATCTCCAAGTCAGGAAGGGCATCGTTGTTGTCGCCCCTGGTGTGCGGTGGAGTGCACACGCACTTTTGGCGGCGTTGCTCGCAAACCTCACGACGTCAGGCCTGGAGACCTGCAACCCACGCCCTACCACCGAGTCAAAGGCCCTTTTCTGACACTGGTGGACTCTCGAAAGAGGTGATTGTGATGTTGGCGAGTATATCTCGCAGGCAATGACATCGACACATCTATCATTGCAAAATTGCAAAATTGCAACATCGTTGTCATGCTTTCCAGGCTGACAGCCATACAACACGGAACCAGGAGGGGTAAACCCGGGCCCCGAATGGAGGGGCAGCCTCGGACCCTGGAGCTCTCGTGCATTAGCGCTGTCGGCAGATGTCATCGGGGACGGCTAAGCACTTCTCCAGCGTCACGTCCAACGTCGGCACTCAGTACCTTCGAGATGTCGATTCCACCACTGCAGTTGCACTCTACTGTGCTCAGATCCCACCGTCTGAACATCTTGGATTGACCAGACTCGATCGAAACCGTACAATTGACTGATCATCATGGCGTCCAAAAGCACTCCGGGCATCCTGTACGTGACCATGCAGCCCAAAGAGGGCCTGGCAGACGCACAATTCCACGACTGGTAAGTTGACCCTCACAGCCGAATCCTGTCGTCCTGCAAACCCAATCTCACGCCCTTCAGGTACCAGAACGAACACGGCCCTAACCGCCTCCGCCTGCCGTTCTGCAACAATGGGTTCCGATACCGCGCGACCGACCTCGCCGACTCGCAAGGCCAGGGCTCGAAGGAGAAGCCAGAATGGATGGCCATCTACGATTTCGACGAGCTGGAGTGGCTGACCCGCGAGCCGTACCAGAAGCTGCGGTCCGCGCCTGTGCAGACACAGCGCGAGCGCGACACGATGAAGCAGATCTTCGTGGACCGGCGGTCGTACGACTTGCTGGGCGAGTGGAGCGGCAGCGACTTCGCGGACCTGCAGAAAGTCGAGAACGAAGGCGTCAAGAACGTCATGATCGCCGTGTCCTTTGTGCTGCAACCTGGCGCCGACAAAGAGGAGGAGCTGAAGCGCTGGTACGAACAAGAGCACGTCCCGCTCCTCCAGAAAGTCCCCGGGTGGCGACGCACAAGGCGCTTTGTGACGTCGTATCTCGACATCCAGGCCAAGCCTGAGACACAGCGTGAGTTCCTCGCGCTGCACGAGTACGCGCCGGACAACGGTCTGGGCGGTGCGGAGTTCATCGCCGCCACGACAACGCCCTGGTGCGACAAGATCTACGCAGACGTTGTTCAGGACCGCAAGAGACGGACATACGAACTCTACTACACCTTCGGCGCCGCGCAGCGCGATCTCGAGTCGCTCTCGAGCAGCGACGCCGTGTCCGCCGAGAGCTCCCACGGGCTGTTCAAGACACACCCCGCGCACACCGTCTCCGAGAAGCGCCCCGTCATCGAAAGCACAATCACCACCCCAGACGGCGTCCCGCTGTCCTACCGCCTCGAAGGAAACCCCTCCCCCACCGCCCCGCTGCTCGTCCTGAGCAACAGCATCCTGGTCGACCACTCCATCTGGGATGCCTTCGTCACCGCTTTCCTCGCGCTGAGCCCACACTACCGCATCCTACGCTACAACACGCGCGGCCGCTCCGCCCTGCCCAAGGACAGCATCACCCCAGTCACTGTTGATGTGCTAGCCGCAGACATCATCGCCCTCCTCGACGCCCTGCGCGTGCAGACCGCGTGCTGCATCGGCGTCTCGCTGGGCGGGGCAACGTGTCTCGCCGCCGCACTATCCTACCCATCCCGGATCTCGGCCTTCGTCGCGTGCGACACGAACGCGTTCGCGCCGCCGTCGAACAAGGGCGCGTGGGACGAGCGCGTCGCCATGGCCGAGAAAGAAGGCCTGACTACCTCCGCCGGCGAGCCCGTCGTGGGCGAGGAACTGGCCGAGATCACCACCCGCCGCTGGTTCGTCGCAGAATCATACGACGACGATGCGTTGAAGCCGAGACTGGCCCATGTCAAGGAACTTGTCAAGACGAATAGTCTCGCCGGGTTCAGAGATGGCGTCAAGGCGCTGCATGCGTATGATATTCGCGCCAAGATGGCGGATTACAAGGGTAAAGGCGCGTTCCTAGTCGGCGCCGGGGACGGCGTGCTGCCCAAGACCATGAAAGAGAACATGGCGGATAAGCTCGGGGGTGGGGTGGAGCTTGAGGTTGTTGAGGGCGCGGGGCATTTGCCTATGGTCGAGCGGCCGGCGGAGGTGGCGCGGTTCGTTGCGCGGTTTTTGGGGTAGGGAGGACGCTAACCGAGAGCATGTGGGCTTTGGAGATGTCGGCGAGGAAGACAGGGAACTGGCAGCAGCATCGTTGGGGCGGAGGACGGGGTGCGTGCTGGAGGAGAGACGGCAGGTGGTGGCAGTGATAAGGGCGCATACAGGTGATGTGCTCTGCAAGTGGTTCAATCGCTATCATTGATCCAAAGCTTGTACATAGTGAGACACGGCTGTGCGGTGCTTCCTGACAGGAACGTCACAGGAATATTACAGAAGACGCAGATGTGTACTTTTTGCCCTGTAGTCAGACGACCATGTCGAGTCGAACCACAATCCCAACGACCCACGACCTGCCTCTCTATACAATGCATTCGTACATCGACCTTGTCGTCGCCTAGCGCTGAACTCTGCCGGAGCGAGATAGGCCGGGCTTACACTCAGCTACGACCCGAACACTCCTTTATCAGTAGATCCGCCCGTAGCGCATCATTCCTCAATAACCATCATCCTGATCGCCATCAAACGACGCTGATGCAGCCGCACGGAATCGAGTGAGACCCGTGCCTGCCCAGCAATAGAGGAACTGACTGGGCATGTGCGAAGTTGCCCCCCAAGACGAGAGGGTTCTCAGTTGACATCCCCTGGTGAAATCTCACGTCCAGTCGATGAGGCTTCTCGCCGTTCTGTCTTTGACGCGTGCTGGGTACCTTGTCTCTTTCAACCCTGGACAAGAGCTTTTCGTGTTGAGACGTACTCTCAGGGACGCAATCTCTTCCATAGCACGACGGGACTTACCTGCACTATCAACCACACAGTTTGTCCAACACCAGATACTGAAGACTCGCAACACATCAATACAGTGATTGACCGAGGCTGTGCGAAGCTTCTTTCCACAATCTCATCCACATGATGAATATCAAAAGGACAAGGATACGCCCAGAGCGAGCGTGGTCTTCTTATTCCCATTGTGCCTGCCTGATCCCGATTATCAACGAAATGTACACAACACCCTGACAATCCGCTCAGCGCACATATCCTTATTCAACCCGACCTGCTCTCTGCATTTTGTGACAGCGGTGTGTACCTACTGGGAAGCCACAGAGACTGACCATGCCGCTACGTAGAATCGATATAATGGGGAAGCGTACAGTGATCAGGCCATCCCCGTACTACCCGACCGCTGCGTGGCTCTGGATGCATATATGATTGGAGACCCGTGCTGTGGATAAGACGGGCATGTTATTTCAACGCGGAAATGTGACCAGTAGGCGGTTGAGTTTGTTCCAGGCAGCAGGATGTATGTCCTCCGGAATTGACGGTGCTGGGAGGCGAATGGATAATGAAGCATACGGGGTAATGACAATTGCTGCTACGCTTTCCTTCTCAGAGTTATCGAGGAAGTGCTCATGACGTATCCTTGCTTTGAGTCCATGTATGCCTGTAAGCCACGAGTCGAATAGTCAGTAGCATGAACAATTGACATGCTCGATCGGCACCACGCTTTCATCCATGGCGTGAGGAATGCGCCCTTGCGCGTTGTATACCATGGAGTTGGATCTGGAGAGTGTGGGTGCACGCATTCCTCGTGCACTGATGTTGTCGGTATGCTGTCTCAGCGTGTATAAGAGGGAGCTTGGATGCTGCAGACTCCTATACGCATCTTGGAGAATCGAATCGTTCAGTGAGTTGGCCCTCTGCGACACGGCGATTCGATGTCTGTCTAACCGATTTCTGCAGAATACCCACGCCTTAGCCATCTCAATAGGACATCAGATCCTCATTCAACCTCCACGATGAAGGTATGTTCTTCCAAAGCATGACCAATCTTGAATCTCACCTCGTCAGTTCACCACCCTCCCCGTCTTGGCGATGTTCATCCCCACTATCTACGGCGCTGTGCAGTGCAAGTCTTTTATAGACGCGCCTGCTACGAACAACCTGGCTTTGTCACTGTGCTCTTCTGCCTTGACCTGTCGCGATGGAGCTGTGCTGGAATACCGCGACAAAAGCATTATTGCACTTGTGAATCTGGCGGTTAAGACTCTTGTGGGCGAGACCGCTTTGACTTGCGACAAAAATTGTTTCTGTCCTCCTAAATAGACAGTGGGCTGGGATGGTTGGAGACAGTATAGCGGGTTAGATAGCCGATGAAGAAGAAGTCTTGTCAGAACGTATCTCTCCATGCGTCGAGTCAGCGCGATGGCTCTCGTCTCGATGCTGTTTTCTATGTATTGCTAGTCGTACCAGATGGCGTTCATACCGAAGCCCGGCTCCTTGATGTCCAACCTCGCCACTCTGGCTAGAAACTCGTCTTTCCAGCGATAAATCTCAATCCCACCGTCGTCGTCGTCCGTCAGCGCAAGCCACTCGTCGCTCCACGGACACGGGCTGACTGCGTTGCTGTGCCCGCCCGAGGTCGGCGTGGGGTTGAGGAAACACTGCTTCTCTATGGCGCCCGAGGGCGCGATCTTGAAGGCGGCGATGTAGCCCGTCAGGTGCTTGGGGGTGTTGGAGCGGCTCGTGGCGAAGAGGTAGGTGGCTGTGCTGTTGAGGAAGACGACGTCGGAGCGGTACTGGGTGTCTGGGTTTGGGATGCCCGGGGGGATGAGCGGGAAGGTCTTGTGTGTGTAGACGGGCAGC